GGAAAAATGTAGTAGATATTTAATGTATGTTAAGACGTTGATTTCTAAAACAGAGTGACTTTAAAGAAAGATAGGCGGATAACTGTCAATACTTTCTTCTACACTTTGTTTCAAATGCCGACAAAACGTAAACACTGTCTGAAACAGATCACGTTATGACACGTCGATAGGATAACAAGTTACAAATTGAACTATGCGGTTAAATGCAAATAAGTCAAAAAACAAAACAAAAAAAAAAAAAACCTTACGCGTTTCAACAGGGAAGCATGAATTCTTCCAGACTTCTTATTCCCAAATTGAATGAAAAGATCAATTCGTCACTTGCTATTTCAACTGCACTACAATCGTTCGGAATTTGCTTATCAAACGAATTCTTCGTTTCCAATTTTGTTCACATTCCAACAAAACAAATTCTGGGTTCAAATCCACAACCGGAAACGGAGCCGAGTTCCAAATATGGTCAAAATTATTCTATTGTAAATTGTTTTGACGGCCATGCACCCTCCATTCTTGTGTGTGATCCCAAATTTTTCTGAACATTGCAGCACTCAAGAAAAATTATTGGCAATATTATCTAAATACAACCTCTTGTTCTCACCCCTTTAAGGCGAGAGAGAGGGTGTCTTTTAGATTGTGGCAGATTACAAAAAAAGGATCGGGGAGAAGGGCAGATCTAAAGAAGGGGTACTTTTACTTCTGTTACTTGGCCTACGTGTACTTTACTTTTCGTCTTAGATCTTCCAAACTACGAAAAAATGATTTTAGAGGTCTAGCACTAATTAAATTTTAGTGCCAGATGCCCGGAAAACTCTCAATGACACGTCTCAAATCTAACGGGACCTACTTGACTTCACTTGCAAAGAATCGGACTTCAAACCAAAGTTATTCCAATTTGAATCGCTATTAGTGACTGAGACTTGGCCATCTAATAAAAATAAATTAGCTATTTACAAGGCAAATATATATTAAAAAGGAAAAAAACAAAAGTTTTCAACACCAGGTCATCATCAGGGTAAAAGGATCTAAGATGTACATCACATACACTAACCTCCAGGATGGTTAAGAGTGGTGTAGTTTGGAAAATGCTTCAGTAGATCTTCACTATTTTCTGTTTTATTATAATAAGAAACAAATCAGTTGCCTTATCTTTCAGTGGCTTCAGTGTAAAGAATATTGGAATGCCTTTCAAAGTTGAGTGCTTGGGGACATGCCAAGAATGCAAGTATGTAATTCATTTGCATTTGGTGCTTAACAAGAGGGAAGGGGTAGGCAAGTTATTTGTGTAGACTAATGAGTGACCAGGTATGGTGGGGTAGAAAAAAGTTCATTATCTTGAGTATTCACCTACCAATTCATCAATGTACTTCTGTGAATTTTGTATGTACAAGTTTCTTACTCATGCTCAGTGCATAGTTAATAGAGCTCTATTAACTTTGCTCAGTGTCATAATACTTAAGAAGATCTATGCAGGGATAAGTGGAGAGTTGAAAGGAGTTCATAGTTCAAA